GCATAACAAACAAGGAACACCGAGCCCCTCCCCAACGAAATGGGTTCCTTCTCCAGCGCCCCGACTGTATCTCTTGCCTGCCGACCTGTACCTCGGCATGGGGTTAAGCTGTGGCCGAGAGCTCGGCGCGCCGCCGCGTCTCGGCCACTACGGCGGCCTGACCGCCAGCAAGCGCCTCGGGTCTCCAGGCGAAGTGGGGGGGCGCCGCGGGGGGGCCACCTCGTGGAGGGCAGGAGGTCCACTCCCATGATCAGCGCTCCGACAAGCGGAGCCGTGCAGTGAACGCACCCAAGGAAGGAAACGAGCAGGGCAGGGCTGTTCGGTAGACGCCCAGGGCCGTTTAGGGAACGCCCACTGTCGGGGTCTAGGTGGTTCGTCCTCCCTTGACCTCAGCCGCCACCGAAGGCGATGGAGCGCGAACCCTTTGGGGGGCCAACCTGCCACCAGGGGCAGGGGGCACGGGTGGCCTCGCCTCAGGGCCGTCGAGGTCGCCACCGAACCCGAGCGGGCTTTCCTCGTTGTCGTGCCGGTGGGAAGGCCAGGCCGCCTCCAGGTCTATGGAGGCTCGCGCGGGTTCCAGCGCTGCCGTTGGCTGCGGCCGCTCCGCGGGTCACTGCGGGACGGGGTCCAAAGGTGCGGTCGCGGCGACCGCCCTCGAGGGCGGCGCGACCAGCCGCTCCTCGGCTGCCCCAGAGCGTCAGAGCCGGAAGCGCGATCTGGGCGGTCGCCGTCGGCGCCCGCGTCGGCAGCTGACCCGCTTGCCCTCGGGGGCCCAAGGTCACGGGCGCGATCCCGACGACCACCCTCTGCGGCAACATGAGCGACCGCACGGCGGTCCGCAGAGGGTGCCGAGGCGCGGGCCGCGCGGACGCGGCCCGGGCAGCCACGGCGCGCGCCCGCGCGCGCGACAATGCGGGCACCCGCCCCCGAGCCCTTCCGGGGGGGCGCGCGGGCGAAGCGCTATCTCGACGACCGCCATCGGCGGCGATCCCCCCCGAGCTGGAGCCGTCGGGTGATCACCGTCGCGGTGGCGCAAGGATCCACCGAAGCCAGTCGTCGTCGCCCTGGCTTTCGAACTGGGTTTCGCCTCGCGCCGCCTCCACGCCATCGAAACAGATGCCGAGCGGCCAGTCGTCAGCGGGGGGCGATCACGGGACGGGGGTCCGTCCGACGGATTCCCCGTTCGGCGCAGCCAGCGAGGCGGCGCGGATACGGGGGGGCCGCGGGACCGAAGATTGCGGATACAGTCGAAACCAAGTCACAAGAACGCGGATCAAGAACATGGGCCCTTTCGCTGAGAGCCCAAGGCTCAATATAGATATCCAAACAGAAAAGCGTTCAAAGCTGGAAAGCCCAACGGCGAAGAACGCAAGGGCACTCGGATTGGCCTGACGGGGCCGCCACGAAAATGACAAGGCACAGTTTGACATTCGACGCGAGCTCCCGCTGCAAACGCCCCAGGTAACTGGACCGCCAAAATCCAGGACGGGCCCGTCAAAACCAAAAAATAGCTCCAGCGCACTCGAGTCTCACGCTTTCCCGAAACGACGCTCGCAGGAGACTGCAACCCCTGCTCGCGGGCGCGGCCCTGACCTCTACCGGGGCGCGGCCGCGACGGCGCAGGAGCGCGGCGACGGGCCTCGAGGAGCGAAGACGGCGCCCGCGGGAACCGCCGTCGAGCGGCGCGCACCGCGCGGGCGAGCGCCTCTGCGCCCAAGAGGGGCGACCCGGCCCGTGAGCGCCTCGCCGCGCGCGGCCCTACCCAAGGAACGCGGAAACCAGACGGGCGGCGCCGCGCGCCCCCCGCGCCCTGCGCACGGGCGCAGAGCGCCCCCGGGTCGCGGCGCCCCCGGAGAACGTCGCGGAGGGGAGGGGGAGGAGGAGGAGGAGGAGGAGGAGGAGGAGGAGGAGGAGGAGGAGGAGGAGGAGGAGGAGGAGGAGGAGGAGGAGGAGGAGGAGGAGGAGGAGGAGGAGGAGGAGGAGGAGGAGGAGGAGGAGGAGG